ATGAAACCAAGCTACACAAAGATGTAGTTTTGAAAATGAACGTGATTTAACTCCAAAATGAAAAGAAAAAAAGCTATAAAATAAAGCAAACCAAACCAAACAAAAGCCTGCTGTATAATTTAAAAGTGTATCCAAATGTCTCAAAACATTCAGCAACTTTTCTGATCATGTCTGTGATGGTGAGTTACCTCATGTCCGTATACAAACCGTAAGAGTCTTAAAGACACATCAGGGTAGGTGGGATACTATAACAACATTGAGCACATTGTTATACTATTCCACCCACCTTAATGAGGATCCTTTAGGTGTGGCGATGCCGTAGCCTTTGGAGTCCAGGTTGCCTCCCACTTTCATGGTGTCGCAAGGTTTCCTCTGCTCGATGTACTCATTCATGGTGGACTCCAGCAGGTAGGCATACTTCCCTTTGGATTTCCTGACTCTGGCCACTCCTTCGGCTGTCGTCCTCACAAACACAGAGGGCTCTGCGCTCCGCATGTAAGTCCACATCTTATCAAACACTGCAATTTTAGATCTCTGGGGAGAAAGCAAATGGTCCAGGGAAGACTGAGATAGCCCTTAGGAGATTCTGACAAAGCAGAAGGGAGGCAGGACATCCCTGTGCCAACACAGATACTGCCTAGGAAAAATAAAAACCTTCAACTTTTAATATTTTTGATAAAATTCTGTTGCTATAAAAATTAATTTCCTTTGCATTCATGAACACCTCAAACAGTGAAGTCACTGCATGAAAAAAAAGTAGGACCCTATAATGAATCAAAAAATATGCTATAATACATAAAGGACCTATTTCAAAGAACATCAAAAGGATATTTTTATTGCCTCAATTCTAAATAGTCTATCCTTAATTAGAGCAGAACAGGAATTCAGATGCCTAATTAGACTTGAAAAGCACTAGGCACCAAGACCCTGATATAGAGACGCTAAGCAAAAAACATGGTCAATGATGCTGGAAATTTCTATTAGACATTGTGGGGCTTAAACTTCATTGTCAACTTCACTGGCTTTGGAATCAAGGAAGACATAAGTCACTGGGCATATCAATGAAGCATGGCACTTGAGCAGTAACTGAACTTGCATCTTGACCAGGAAGTAGAATGCAGAGAGAGCAAACCGGGAATGGTATGGGCTTTGGAAACCTCCAAGCCTACCCCCAGTGACACACCTGCTCTAACAAGGCTACACCACCTAATCCTTTCCAGACAGGTCTACCAACTGGAGAAGAAGTATGCAAATCCACAAGTGAGTGGGACCAAACCATTCAAAACACCATTAGGTGAAAGAAAACTGTTTTCCATTTTTTTTTGTCTCATTGTTTCCATGTCTGGCAGGTGAGTTCATCTGTCCCCACGCCTCCTCTGGGGGGCAGCTTTTCCTGATACTGCTGCTGATATCAGAGTTTAGCATGTTTGGGCTTCAAGTATTGACTGAAGATGGATGGCTCCCCAGCAATCTTCTAAGCTTTCAAAGTCAGGGTTGGTTGAGGATCCCTTAGAGTCTTAGCCACTTCAGTGTGAAACAACAAGACTATAGGACATAAGACAGTCTAATTAATTGCATTTTATTATATTTTAATCCTATTAGTTTTGTTCCTCCTCTAAAATGTATCAATGTTATTTCCACAATTACAGTTTTTATTAGCTAATAATTTTTCTAACTCATGGAGACATGTTTCCATTTCTGAAATTATTCCCCTTTGAGATCACAGATTTGGAAGCATTATCTTGTCATGCAGACTTCATCGCTGTTATGGCATAAAGTTATAGGAATATCCTTCCAGGAACTCAACTGGAAGGTTAACCATCATCACAGCATCTCATCCAAGTTAGGCGTTGGGAGCAGTGAGACCCCAGATCCTGAATTTCTTGTAAACAACTTGTTTCCCCCTGATCTGAGTGCCTACATCCGCTCGGAGCACGAGACCTTCAGGAGTTCCTGATGGCAGGAGAGTGGTTTCTGGTGGGGTTGGCTGGGGCGTGGCTATCTCTATATAATCTGCCCCTGAACACAATAAAGGGGGCATTCTAGAAGCTTTGGTATCAGTGTTAAAAGGTCTGCGTGTCAGTTTGTCTCTGCGTCTGTGTTCTCAACCTCCAGCCCCTTGCCCGAAACTCGCAAACCGGGTTCTAGTGCACAGAGCACAGACACGGGCGCAGTGCGTGGCAGTTAGGTTCTTTTAAAAATGGAACTTCGTTGACTAGCTGGGGACTTGGTAAGGCAAACCAACATCCCCTTGGTGTTGGAAGCTGATTTACTTATCATTTCTCCCTTTCCTGTCTCTTTATTATTTATTTTAAAATTTCACTGTTTAATCTTAGTAAAATTGACAGTCTTGTTCAGCTTCAGGACTTTTCTATTGTGAGTCCTCACAAAAATGTGATGCTTAACTTTGGGATAAATTATAAACTTATTTAAAAAGTTTCAAAATAAAGTTGCACAAATCTTTTATCTATTTATTCATTGAACTGGTCATTTTTTTTTCAAATTGGTAAAACTATCCAAGGTGCATTAAAGATTAAATATTTTGATGCCCTTTGTGAAAGCCCAAACATTAGCGATGACAATTTCCATTTCATTCATAAAACTTTTCTATTCCCTACTAGATTAAAGAGTTTTTCCAAAATATGAGTGTATTCTTTCCAAGATTGAAGGGCATTAAAATGCAATATAGAAGACTGACTCAGTTTTTCAGCTGAAGGATTTCTCAGCCATTCTAATTATCTGCGGCCATCGGAAAGTCTGTGCACTGGTGAAGTCTGTACAGCTGATACTTCATCTCAATTCTACACCCACAAGCTCTCTGAGGTCAACTGAGTCATGGTTACTTATTTTTATAACATTTTTTTCTTTGTACTTTAAAATTTTTGAGACTATAACGCAATCACATCATTTTCCCTCCCCTTTTCTCTCTCCAAACCCTCCTGTTCACACTCCTTTCCTCTGCCCTCTTTCAAATCTATGGCCTCTTTTATACACACACACACACACACACACACACACACACACACTAGTTTCTTAAATATGTAAATAACCCTACTCTGTCTGCATAATGTTTCCTCCATGTCCATGTTTTCAGGTATTGCACAGCTAATTGATATGTCCTTCCCTGGGGAATATTATTCTACAACTCTTAGCAATCTGTAGTTGCCTACAATTATTTGTCTGTGATTGAGTCCTCATGAACTTTCCACTTTCCAACTTATAATGTCTATTGGTGACATCCTTGCTCAAATTATGTTTAGCCAGCCAGTCGTGTCGGTGAGATTTCATAGGTGAAGATTTTGACATTCCTCGGTCTTACAGCACACTCTCTGTTCCTCTGGCTCGCACTCCTTCCTCCCCATTTTCCTCAGGTATCTCTGTGTGTCAGACGCACATGTTGTTTTGTAGATACATCAGTTATGACTGTGTGATGATATTTTGTTTATGACTTAACAAATAAGCTTGCCTGAAGATCAGAGTGCAAAGCTAACCACACTAGTTAGCCATACAGGCCAGGCAGTGGTGGTGCATGCCTTTTAAATGAGCACTAGAGAGGACTAGAAGGTGGAATGAAAGAGACTCGCTCTGTTTTCAGTCTGAAGATTTCATAGAGGTAAGAGCTTTCGAGTGGCCATTTGTTTGCTTTTCTGATTTTCATCTTTAACTGCCAACCTCAGTCTCTGGGTTTTGAGTTAGTAGTGCTTCATGTAGCACCCATTGTTTGGGATACAAACTCACTACAAAGCACCACCCAACCGGCTAGGTTTTCCTTTCTTTTCTCTTTCTGGTTTTTCCATGAACCCCCTTCTCAGGTTGTTGTCGAACTAGCCTTGAGACCCAGACAGGCTTTTACTTTCTATGCAGCAGCAATAAGCATCACATTTTCATTGTTGTTGGTGGCGGATTTGTGAAAACACTGGAAATTTATTAAGGCAGGAACTAGTTAAAAGGGAGAGTGTTTTCCCTCATGTTACAAAATAGGAAACACAATTATGATAAGGAATGTTAGGTCTCTACGTGATTATGCAATGCCTGATTTTAAAAAGGAACGTCTAAATGAAGGGGTAATCAACTTAACCAGGATGGACATACTGTTAATTATCATGTTCATAACACTTGTTGTCTTGATAACTCTTGGAGATATGGGATGACCCTCTGTATGCTATAACTGTTTTATTACCATTGGTTAATAAAGAAGCTGCTTTGACCTATGACAGTCAGAACAGAGCTGGGCAAGAAAATTAAACTGAATGTAGGGAGAAAGAAGGCAGACTCAGGCAGATGCCATGTAGCTGTTGAAGAAAAAGGTTGACAGAATTTAACGGTTAAAATTCTTAGAGCCTTGTGGTGATACATCAGAATTCAATCCCTTGTGCTTGTTTCACATGCAATTTTCCATCTGAGCCATCTATACGTTCCTTAAGGAAATGCATAAAGACATTTGGAACACAGGAAAATGTAAAAAGACAAACAGCTGTGAATTCAGACGACGTACAGGAAGAAGTCACTTACTAACTTAGACTGCGGCTGCTTTATCTTTCCCGCTGTCATTGCTCTACCACCTCCACTTAAAAAGATGTCTGTATTTGGGGGATAAGGTCCTAAAGGCAGCAATCTAAGTCTTCCTGACAAAATGACCAAAGGTGCTTCATCCTTAAGCATAATCTTCTACCAAAATTATTTAGCTAAATTCTTTCTTTCTTTCTTTCTTTCTTTCTTTCTTTCTTTCTTTCTTTCTTTCTTTCTTTCTTCCTCTTTTTGTCATGTCAATAATGAATCTCTGGTAAAGAAAAGTATTTGAAGCCGAAGGTGAAAACTCACTCTTATTCTGGTTTGGGACTGCCTGTGACTAAAAGTCAAAAGGCAGTTGGTGGTTGGAAATTCATGGCAGATTGGGATGGACAGTAAAGATACTGCTTCAGAAAAACAAAATTAAGGAATCAAAAAATTCATTTGGAATGAAATTATGCAGGATAATGACTTCACACCTAAACTGTTCAGAAAAGACAATTTCATATATTTACCATATGTTAGCCAAGTTAAAATATAAAATGGAAATCCTCTCATGGTTAAAGTACTTAATTTTGATAACTTGAATTAAATACTTGTGCCTGCCTACAGTTTTGCTGTAATTTCATTTATGGTATTTGTAGATGTCTTCAACTGCCATTGGTTTTTAAGTTTCTATTACTCTACAAAATGAGTAGCCATCCACATCCATACAAGACACTATGCTTTGGGTGGAAACTTTGTAAAATTCAGAACAAAGCTATGCAGAAATATGAATTGTAAATTACGTCAGTGTCATATTTTTCTTCAAGTAATTATAATTATAATTGAAATATATATAATATGTAAAATATATGATGTATAAATTAAAATATTATAATTGAAAAGCTTCTAAATTTACCAACACGATTATATTTAATTTTATTTTACTCTGATCATTGAAACGATGTCAAAATTCTGTTTTTCCTCTGTCCAGAGCCCTCAGACATGTTTGTTGTCATGGCAACTGATGTGGAAAAGATATCTAGTATAAACAGAGAGAGATGATTCTTTATAAACAAGGTAATAAAAAAATCAAACCCTAAATCATGCTTGTGCATTGTTCTGTGATATTCATCTTCTTTCCGAAGCACACAAACTAGGCGTTTTAAGCATTGTAAAATGAGGGAATTGTTGAATAGTTTCATCGTTGTGACCTTTCCTGAGAGATTGTCCTCAGCATTCGCCATTGTGAAAACCAGTGCTTTGTGGGTGATGTGTGTGCTTGTGCATGGTCTGTAAGCAAAAGCTTTCTGTGGTCTGATGGCGGAGCCCTCAGCTGGTATGGCAGGTGGTGGTTTTTAAATGACCCAGCCAGAAAGTTGGGGACCAGTGACATTTGTGGAAAATACCTGTGGGACAAAGATAACCTATTTATCGTGAAAAAAGGGCACCAATAATCATAATCCAGTAATAAAATGTAGTCCCTTCTCACTATTGGAACACTGAAGTCCCATGACTTAAGAGCCTCCTGTCCCTGTCTTTAGACTTCTTTTCTTGTGAACTTTGAGAACCACTGCATGAGATGCATGGTCACTAAGCAGGGCAATAACTTTGAAAGGAGCCAGTGCCAAAGCCTCCTACATTTTGACCTTTTCTGCAGTGTTCTAATCAGGTAGAACTGACCAGAGGTGGCAGAGCCAGCTCCTTACAGGCTACCTATGTTCTTAAAGCCTGCAGATGAACAAAACGCTTCCTCAGATGCTCTGTCCAATAGTGAGAAAATTAAAATGTCAGAGAAAGGAAGGTTGCCAACCAGGAGGAAATGACTTCACCTTGTCATCTAGAAATGGTGCAGGCATGTAATCAATCTATATAACATGAAAGAAGAGAAATATGTAACAGATATGACTAACCATGCATGAATATCACCGTGTTTACTGTGCTATTCTTTGCTATGTATTCATGTTCAGGATTTATTTAATGGCTACAAACGTAGATGCTATTTACACATTTAAACATGTGTGAAGGACCAAAAAGAATCTCTTCTTGTGTGAGTAACATCCTACATATATAGAAATACATATATGGCCACTCTAAATTTCTGCAACACTTGAAAGCTGTACATATGTACGGTTGCTATGCTAAAATCAACAGATACTTATTTCTGCCTTATGAACACTGGTGACCTTTGTAATTGTAGCACAGAAATCATTGGAAGTACTGAAAATAATAGAAAAAAGGAGGGTTTACAAACTAGTGAAATCTCTTTTCTGTATGTCGTGTCATTGGGAATCAAGGACTTATAATGTGTCTTTGCTACACGCAATCAGCAGATGCAAGGATTGTAACATTACTGAAACAGTGTTTACCATCCTGTCAGTAAGCTAGCTTGTAATGACTAGAACACTTTCATCTGTGATCATACTTGCATGTTTTATTGGCTCAGGGCTGTTAATGAGGACCTTGTGTGTGCTAGGCAAGAGTTCTGCTTCTGCTTCAGAGATACTCCTAAGGGGTGACCCTTCTTGTACACTTTCATTTTTAATCCTGTTAAAATTAAAAATTAGGGAGACCTAAGTGTCCTGGGCTGGTTTTGAACTCATTCTGTAGTCAAGGTAGACCTCAGATTTGTGACTCTTCGCTTTCCCTTTTCCAAATAGCTGAGATTAAAGACATACACTTCCCAAGTCCAGACATGTGTATTTAATGCCATTCATGACAAAACATTTCATCCTTATTGATAATTTAAGTTATTGTAACCCTCTGGTAACCATGACTATTGATTTGTGAAATGAACATACTCACACTCACACTCTCTCACACACACACACACACACCTATAAAAGCAGGAAAGTTTCAAACTATCTTTCTAGCGAGGAACAATTGCATTGATTCTATGTAGCCGACATTTATGCTGTTTCTAGTATAGAGAACGCCTATGATGTTGAGCAACAACACTGCAGCTTAATGCACCTAGATCAGAACAATTGTCCTATCTGCAAACGAGAGGAATTAGACTCCTCCCAGAAGAGAGGAAGAACCTTTGCTCTGACAAGGATTTGGCAATGTTTTTCTTCCTCACGCTAACAGCACTAACAGGTAACACTTGGGCAGAGAGTATACGGTGTGCCCTGTCTTCCCAGAGGAGACAACTGGAAGAAATGGACCGATGACAGTGAGAAGGACTAAGAACACACAGGAAGAAACTCCTACTCCCCTTCTGAAAGTCAATCATTGTCCTTCGTGGACCAAGAGACCTGTCGCGGGCTCACAGGGAATGTCATCGCCTCTCTAGATTCTAACTTGCTGTGGGAACATAGCAAACTCAGGTTTTGTAAAAAAAAAAAAAAAAAAAAATCATTTTCTAAACAAAATTAAAGAACTATGATCTGCCCTATTTTAATGAGGGGAAATGATCAAAATTGAAACTCTAAAAATAGAAGTTTATATTTGAAATCCTAATTCCCTCCTAATTATAGGAATGCTACAGTGGCACTCTAATTAAGTACGATTAGCAAGCCTATGGCAGGTCAAGGCAGTGTAACAGAGTCCTTAGAGAGAAAGCTGTAGATATATAGAGGCCACTTCTAGCCCCAAATCTCTCAGACTTTTCAACACTGCATTCGACTTTCCCTTTCTTACAACAAATATTGATCAGCACTGAGGAGAAACACACATCTTAAATTAGAGAACTTAGAGCTCATGCCACGCTTCAAAATCTATATGGACTCACCAATTTCAGTAAAGTAATATTCACGTAACTTAATTTAATATTAACTTATTTACCGGAACTCTGTAAGTACTCTAGGCTTTAAAACAGCTAATATCACTGTAGTACAAAAGAGATTACTATAAGCTAGAAATTCAATGTAAGTAACATTTACATTAACAAAGTTATTTAATGAAACTGATAATTAAAATTAGATTCATTTGTAAGAAATCCAAATTGGATTTTAGAAACAGACATTCATCTCTATGTGTTCTAAGTTTTATTCATTTTTTTCAGCTGTTATTTGATTTGGACAGTGTCCTTATTTCTCAAATTGTTTTCCCCAAACCTGAACTCAAAGCTTGCTATTGTTACAACAGAAAAATGATGTCGTTACTCATAGATGCTCTAGTGGAATTAATACTATTCCAACTTTTAAAATAACAGACAAAGGAAAACCTAGCAACAAAATGAGATTATGTCGTAGTAGGAGATGTAATAACATTAGAACGGTTCACCGGTTCTTCGATCAGGTAGTCAAAAATCAGGTGGCCGAAGAACAAAACACATGAGCACACCTTCAACCCACTTCCTCCATTCCCTCTTCCTGGAAAGCTGGCCACCATGACAATCAAATTGGCTAGCTTTCAGCCTGCCTAGAATGTACCTTACATGAAGATCCAAAATACCTAGAACTAAAAGACAGTTGAAGAAGACCATAGAACAAATGTGTGGTGAACATTAATCTCAGGATGGTTAGCAAGCATCCCTTTACATCCTCTCCTTTCAAGCAATATAAAATTTCAACTGCACTCAGATAATAGAGTGAGAAGTAGCAGCTTGTAAATAGTCAACCACACAGTTTCTTTCTCTCACTAAGAACTCATATAATGCTGTGTGCACTGAGATCCAGCCAAGGCTCTTTCAAGTTCCTCCTGGAGCTAACATAAAAGACACAGCAAGGACCTGATCACATTTCAACCCCAACTGATACTTTAACTTCATGTAATCAAATGTGGATAGGGTCATGTGGAGCAAAAACTTTAATTGTTCTTAATAATAAAAACCCAGAGTCAGATATAGGGGTTAATGCTGAAGATCAGAGTAGCAGAGAGGCCAGCCACTAGAGAGTTCTTTTACCGCTACCAATGCTCAGGCCAAAAGGAGGATTCTGCCCCAGCTGCATCTCCAGACTCCGTCTGTCTCCCCCAAAGCTCAGCCTGCAACTGTCTCCACCAAACCCAGGCTTATATAACATGAAAGAAAGCTGCGGCACCCTTTCCTTAGAGAATAGCAGTAACCTAAACTGCATTTGTTTCATTTTTGTTCTCAAGGAAAGTCAATCAGTTTTTAGAAAATTAAGATTGCATAACAATATTATTTCTTCTGAGGAACTAAGAGTAAAAAAGTGTGGAAGCACAGCAACAGTTGGACATCGGGACAATCTGAGATAGAAACATACCGAGATCAAAGTCAACAGAGACAGCTGGTTCTTTCCACACAGCACCCTTTCTTTCATGGACCATGGGAAGAAGAGGGAGGCTAATTTATAGGGATTAAATTTAGAGAAAGCAAACAAGCAACACAGACACTAAGAAACCAGAATCTCTTACCCTGAAAAACTCTTTAGTGGAGCCAGAGTCTAAAGTTCCATAAGCAATTTCTGTTTGCTTAGACAGATCCTCGGCACTTTCGATGGGAGACACCATCCTCTCTACGGTCAGGAAGGCAGCTAAGTTAGCCGTGTAGGAGGAGATTATGATCAGGGTAAAGAACCACCACACACCTCCAACAATGCGCCCAGAGAGGGATCTGATAACAAGTATGAAATGGATTCGTAAAGTGAAATGAAATATCTAATATAAAAACAAGTTAACATTCATATGCAAATAACCACTTACAGAATAGTTCACTTTATACCTTGCAATACATATTTTAGCTCAAGAAACTAGGAACTACTAACAATTTGGGACTAGAAGTACAGAGTAAGAAGACTGAGATCTGAGGATGTATCCAAAGACCTACACTATTCTTGGGACATTCCCATAATTATAGACCCAAGTAATTAATGGTGTAAAATTTCCCAAGAAAGCAACTTCAGGAAATGTACAAATATCTCATCTAATATACACAATACTTTGTCTACTTATGATGCAAGCACAAACAGAAGAACCTTAGAACAGCATTAAAGTTCATAACAAAACAAGTATTGCTAAATTGTATAGCATTAATATAGCTTTCAACATAAAATACACTCTCCCCTTAATGCACCTGACCCCCACCCCCCCACAAGCAAGCTCAGCTCCATCAAAACATGAGGTTTTGGGGTGTGAAGATCATGTGCTTGATACAGCACCGGAGAGAAATGGAAAATGAAATGACACTGAATGTAAAACATAATTCTCAATGAGTAAATCAGATGCCTTCATGGTGTGGACTGCTCTGACCCTGTTCCTTTGTGTTTCCTGCTTGAGAGAGGAAGAAAACTCAAAAGAAAACAAATTAGACGTTTAAAATTTAAAAGATATAAATTCCTAATGTGAAGTATAAGAAGATGGCATCATCTGTCTGACTATAAATACACATGATGTTTTTAAAAATCTTAATAGATTGCCAATGTTTTTCTTCAAATATTGAAGGAGATGAATGCAGTTATGTAGATACCAACAAACATCTGCTGTGTTATTTTAGATTTTATGGGATTCGGCATATAATTGAGAAATTTGAAGTAGCAGCATTTCCAGATTGTTAAAACATGAAAGTTGGTCAATTTAATGGCAGAATCAAATTTATTGACTATTAGCATTAGGTAATGCAGCCTTTGATAAATAGATATAAGATAAATTTCTGGTGATTTTAGTAGAATAGACCGCTTGTTCCATACAAAAGAATTAGCTAATTTCAATAAACTTAAAGTTTAGGCCATCATTTAGGCTTTAAATGAAAAACTGAAAAAGTGTAATTTAACCTCCAAGCCAAAGTCACTATAAAATGTGAATATTTAAATTAACATGTTAGAAAGGAAAGTTTAAATATTTCTCACATGGACTCTAAATCAAATGTTTTTTTAAATATTGGTTCTGGAAAACACTGATATTGACATAGTCATCTTCCAGTGTATCCTGTCTTTCTGTGCTGCAGGACAATTATAGGATACACACCTGGAACTCTGAGGACAGACTCAGAACATGGCTGCTCGCATCCTTCAACACTAAGGTTGTTTTTTTTAAATACATTTGACACTGTGCAATATCTCCTACCTGATTAAGAATTGTGCTTATATGTTATTCTATTCTAGTTAAAAAATAAAAACTACTTATCACTTTGCTTTTATTCCAGTGCTTAAAAATATTATTAAGATCAAATATTTCAGTGTTACTTTAAATATATTAATTGTAAGACATAGAACATATTTTTAGATTTTTATCACTTATCTTTATTTTAAAAGCAGCAATTAATTTTTCTGAGAGTTCTGGAGAAATTTTATTAAGAGGAAAAAACTTAATTTTGATTTGTAACAAAAGTTGCCATCATCAAAAATAGAGATTTTTTTACTTTCTGTAGCAGATGCTGAAGAAGGGAAAAGCAGAGACACTGTCATGTCTTCTAAATACACATCAGATAAGGATGTTTCAATGGCATATGATTTACATGGAGAGATATTGTGGATGTAAAAAAAAGCAGCCTGAAGAATACCAATAATCATTGTGCACATTGCTTTTCTAATGCCTATGTTTTAAAAACATATCTCATAGTGACGGGGCCCCAAACCAACTTTTTCTTCTTTTGTTTTTTAATTTCAGGCAAGTTATAGTCACTGGTTTCAGCAAATTGTCCTAGACTGTACTTCAATTGCGCCCTCTCAGCGTTCTTAATGGAGTTCCACAACAGATTTCACCTGGAAAGGGTGATGCATTTCCAAAGTTTATCAAAGGAGTTTCTAAGTGCTCTGTTCATTTTCAGCTCTTTGTAAGACAGCAACGCATTCTATTGCTCTGCTGTGCAGCGGCCATAACTGCCTTCTAAGACAAAGGAGTGCACTTCATTCTTTTATTAAAACAATCATTAAATTGGTCAGTGCTATGTTCTAGGCTCAGTTTAAGTGTATATACAGAAAATAAGCAGAAAGATAAATATATTTTTAGTATAGGTGTTATATCTAAATATTCTGAAATAAAAATATATTAATAAAGGAAATACCCTAACTGAAAACCAAAGTTTCTTACTAAGAAAAGAATGTCCTTGAGTGAGACTCAAGAATAAAATCAAAGCACAAAAAATATATACTATTTCGGAAGCAAGCTTAATAAAAAAAAAAAAGATAGAGAGAGAGAGAGAGAGAGAGAGAGAGAGAAAGAGAGAGAGAGAGAGAAACTGTCCTAATGCCATAGTGGACCCTGGAATGTTCTAGAATAAGTGTGCCTTCCATCCCAGCCACAAACACAAAAGATTTTCTGATGCTTAGCAGATACTAGATAGCAAAGCATCTGTGGTGCCATGCTGTGAGTGGGAGGTGGGAAGCTCCCAGGCCCGGTCCATCTCTGGGAACACAGGACAGTACCCACTTCATTACAAACCCCCACACACTTCTGCTTACCTGAAAGGCAGAGCAGAACGTGTGCCAGCCAAGCTCAGCTGCCTTTACTTACAATAAGTGACCACGATTCAGTGGTCTTACCCAAGCTCAGCTGCCTTTGCTTCCAATTAGTGACCACGATTCAGTGGTCTTACCCAAGCTCAGCCATTAAAGCTACAGTTCTATGGACCAGATTGTCCTCTGAGTTTTCAGTTTTGTTATTTTTTCTTCCTTATTCTTAGAAACTGATCACCACAACTCTAATTTAAATCGGATAACTAAATGTAGAGACGACAACCCCTCTACGTGTTGTCAGAGTTTAACTCTGTATTTAGGACCATGTGCTCCTTTGTGCATACCATGAAACTTTATTTAGACCATTTCTAGTTCATGGAAGACCTAAATAGAATCCACGGTGAATATGGAGCTAAGATTTGTCTTTATAAATACTTACTTTATTTGTTTGTTTTTTCTTTTTAATGGAACTTTTATAATACACTACCATTACAGCTACTGACTATCAGAGATCAGTTGTTTAATAATTTCTGCCTAGGAGGTACATTTCCTTCTTTTCAGCCAGAAAAAGATACTTTAACACTCAGAAAGCTATGAATTTTAAAGATGTTTATATTCATTTTGAAATTAATTGCTTGTAATCCACTAAATACTAAAAACTAATATTTGAATGAATTCTCATAAAAAAGTCACTCCCTTTACTAGTAAAGATTTACCCTTGGAATCAAAGGAGGCTACTCTATCTCAAATTGAACTGCCCCAGAAGACAAATAACATCCTGGCTTTAAATGTTAATGATAACACACTAGCAGAAGTAGGATTTATTTCTCTGAAGAGACACGGGTACTTATCACGAGTCTTGTAACATAAACAAAAACAACTGGCGATTTATGTCAGATATATGACAATTAGTCACTTTAGTCTGAGATGATCGTATCCTGATGGGAATCTCTGATGTGTGAGTGGTACCATTCAATAGGCATCTGCAGCAAAGTCATTGGTTTTCTGTCTGCATTTTTAGATACCTGAAAATGTATGATCAACCATTATACACAGAAGCCTAATATTCAAAAACCTTAATAATCTCTCTCTCACACTGTTTTCATGAACTGATGGTAACAGGAAAATAAAGAGATGAAGTATGTTCAAATGAAGTGTTGTCTTACAAGTTGTTGACTCGGAAATAGCTAACATCGCCCATTTTCCCATATACAGGTCTGTGGATCAACACACAGATGACTGTAAAATGAGAATATGCAGCAAAAACACGGTACCCCTCCAAGCAGGCATGGAATGATAGGAACCTTATGCATTTTCTAGCCTCTCCATGGTGTGTACAATTTCACCAGGGAAACACATGGCCAACATTCAAAGAACGTTGTTCAGGTATTTCACAGGCTTACGCCGATGGTAAAAGTTTGTCCTCTAAGCATCTTAAATTGCTTGGACAAGCAGTCGGCAGCTGGAGACATCTTCATAGTGAACTCATAAACACCATGGACATCCACTTGAGACCTAAAATGCACAAAGTTGAAGCAAGCGAGTAACCAACCTTGGCGAAATATCGCATCCTTGCTGCATAAAGGCACCCAGGGAAAACCAGAGACTATTAAAAATCCCAAATTCATTAGTTGATTCACTACTTTGTGTTTCTCTTCCATCTTCAAACTCCTCAGTGTGCCACTCGTAGGGGCTAAATCTGCTGACCAGGAATAAAACTACACTGACCCCAATGTAGGCAAACACAATGCACATCCAGATCTCATAGGCTAAAGGATCAAGAAAGGAAAACACTCCTGGTTTGGACTTCTGAGGCTTCTTGATCATGATAGAGATTCCAAGACTCATGAAGGGCTTGGAGAAGTCAATCACCTCTTCTCTCACAAGGGTGATAGTTAACGGAGCAATTGCAATGTCAGCTTTCTGTAAAGGAAAGAAAGGAAAATAACAGGACCCACCATTATGGTTAAGAAAGACACATGTTTAAAACTTGGGATGGAAATTCAAGAGTGGCAGTAATTATGGCTCTGGTGCTAAAGAATAAGAAAGAGGGCCATGTATTTATTCACCTACTACTATAGACAAATCGTTGACCTATCTGGCTTAGATAAGGTCATTACACAGTTCCTGTGATATACACTTGAAGTTTGGGGATAACATATGTGCTTAAAGACTGGTCAATGAATGTTTCAATTAATTTTCAAGTTTGCTTCTTGTTTTTGTTTCAACCTTTCAAGTTTTATCAAATAAATAAAACGGTTGTTTTCTAGAGCATCATGGAATGCCAAAAACTGATAAATGGATATTTTAAAATAGAATGACCATTCTCTCAACAATGGTTCAAACTGAATTACTTTAGCTTTAAAGAGATATATACTTACCCCATATACAAGCTCTCCAACCATACCATTCCAAATTTTGGTGTCTGCATCCCTGGCCCCATACTTGCCATCCCCAACAATAGTCAACTTGTACTTGAACCCACAATGTTTGGCAATTTCTGCAGCTAAGTCAACACAGTAGCCCTCATAACGCTCATTCCCCTCAAGCATTTCATGATTTTTCTTCATCATAACATATGGTGATTCCTGTAAGGAAAGACAATATGTTCAACTGATTATCATCAAGATTTACATGCTGCTATTATGTCAAACCCATAGCTTAATAATTACTTATTATACCTAGGCATATGTTAGATATAGATAATATGACAGACATTGAAATAACAATATATAGGCATAGTGCTTCTACAATCAACCTCCTCAAATCTCTCTATTATTGGTCATTAAAATGGCTTATGTCTAATCATATTTGAGTAAGATACATAAAAGCTCTTTGCATAGCCTCTCGTTTTATTTGTAATCCTTAGGCACAAGAGAGGGAAATTTTTGCTCAACAGCTACTACCTTTGGGTCTTTCTTACCCTTATTGAGTTCAGGCAAGATCTGTGTTACTGCTACTCCAAGTACAAACATCATGTAGGAGAAAAGCTGCATGTACAATGATACATAAACTGAAATGGTCATTGTCATGGCAACAAACTGATTCTATTCCTGAGAGTTTTGTGTCTTACTTCATCTAAGAGATATAATACGCTAGAATAATGTTACACGTATAGTTATAGAAGCTCTCTCTCTAGAAACCCATGAGAGAGGAAGTATGATGAAATTATTCAGCAAATCTAATGTTGTTCATTTTGGAGTGTTACAGAATATAAATCTAATTGAGTTAGTGGTTCCTTTCAATAGCATGATGAGGGTGAGAATTCCCAAATGTCTAACTCACACTCATGAAGAGAATTCCAGGTGCCACTAATGTTTTATCTAAATCTCTTATAAGTGTCTTTATATTTTCATCTCATGTTGTTAGGAAAATGAATTCACCAATTTATAACCTCATTACTAAGTAAGAGTGCCAAATCATCTTATCACAAAACCACATACCCTAACAAATTCCACCTTCTCTCCACCCCTTGCTTGGCATTGTGTCTTCATGATCCACACATCTAGGCAAACTTTGCTTCCTTCTTTCAATAGTCATGTCTTTGGAACAGGGCACATGGCTACCACTGTGTTCAAATGATTGGTATAAAGGAGATCACACTTGCCTTTCATTGTGTATAAAGAGGGCTTAGCAACATTATTAGCAGCATTATTAGATCATATTACTAAACTGGGGGGAGGGTGGAGATGAACCAGAGTTGAGTGAGATTTGAAAGGATGTGTAAAGAGCGAACAAGACTTTGCTCTGCTCTTCACTAGTGTCTGCAGCAGGGTATCAGTTATCTATCAAGCTAGACTCCAGCCTGCTAGAGGATGAGAACATTCTACCTGCTTCAACTCAGCTTGTGTATAACCCTTAGAGTAGGTAAGCATGCAGTAAGGGACACAATGACAAGTAAGCAATGAATTAAGCATTGTAAAAGCTGTTTGGTGATCTTCCTATTCTAAAGCCTAAACATCAAGTCTCCAAGTAGATACTTAGAATAAGAAAACATGCAGCCCAACCTAGGAAAGTGTGATTAATTACCAAGATTGTGGTGACCACCACAGTTTTATTTTCAAGCCCAGATGTGTCATTTCCAGAAGGGAGCTCGGTTAGGGTGACAACCATTTTGTCCACTTCACTCCAGTAGCCAATCTGGAAAAGGTCACAGTTGATGAACAATGATGAGAAGTGGCCTGGCTTCATGGAAAACACGTGACACTTTTCAAACCCATGTCTGCACCCAAAGCAACGCCCACCTTACAGAGACTTCTAAGGACCAGCAACAGCTTTACCTTCATGAATATGCATCTGGTTGGAAATGAAATTCCGAAGAAAAGATAATTTCTAAAATTAGGTTGAATCTTCCTATTTTATTATTTATTTATTTATTTTTGTTTAATTGACTCAATAGCTTGTTAGGTATCCTTAGTTTGTCTAGAACTCACTATATAGCTCAAGTTCCATTCAACTCACAATCCCCTGCCTCAGCTTCTGTAGTTCATGTGCCAGTGCACCTGGCTCACTTTTCACATTTACTGGATAATTTGGTTGGTGAGGTAATAATTTATATATGTAAATATATCTCAAACAGTGACAATTTAGCCAGACTATTTTAAGGCAAGATTTTGAATTAAACAGTTTAATATGTGCTTATACCACTATTTATTTGATCTAATTACATAACATCTTTAGCAGTTCTTTTCTATCTTATAATTAAAGTCTTCTTATCAAAGTTGAAAAAGGCACGTAACACTTCTGCATATAGGTACTATTTTAGATTAATTATTACTATCACTTATGAAAAATGAGTTGATTTGATTCAAAACAAATCTCAAAACTGAATTTGTTTCTAGAAGCGGCTCATCACTATTTACATGCACATGCTCTCTGACCCCAGGAGTGGAAAAAGCTCACGACAGAATCTGCCTCTTCAAAGGGAGACCCCATTTTAAATACTTAAAGTCTTACCTTCCGGGGCCCGTTTGTTTTTAGCTCCATGATATTAATCGTGTAGTTTATTCTTTTTCCGTTCTGGTCAAACTTTATATTTCCAGAGAGACCTTCAACTTGAACCTAAGGATGGAATGGAAATAGAACACAGTTATCAATTTATTAAATTCAAGATGCAAACTGGGAAGATTGCTCACACTGACCTGGACAGGTTACTGTTTACTCTGTGTGTGTGTTTAAGTTTATTATTTAAATGACATGTTTTTCATTTATTTTACTTACCAACCCCCACTCCCTCCTCCCCTTCCATACCTTTGCTTTTCTCCCCTTTCCCATCTACTCTCCTCCCCAAATGTCTTTCCTCCATTATCATTCAGAAAGAGGCAGACCTCCCATGGGCTTGCACAAAGCTTGGTACATCTAGCTGAGGCTTAGCTTCTCCTCTTACATGAGATGAGACCAGGTAATAGAGCATGGGGAACAGGTTACCAATAGCCAGCTGAGCACCAGGGAGAGGCCCTACTCTGATTGTAAGAAGCCTTACTAAGAGACCAAATGAATTGTCACACACATGCAGAGGTTGCCCTAGGTTGGTCCCGTGTAGGCTCCCTGGCTGTTGGTCTAGTGTCCACAAGCTCTCAGGAACTCAGGTCCGCTTTCTCCGTGGGTTCCCCCATCATGACACCCCTGGCTGGTACAATCCCTCCTCTTTTTCTTCCACAAGACAGCACAGTAATTGTCTGTGGATCTCTGCCTCTGCTTTCATCAGTGACTGGATAGAGTATCTCTGATGGCAATTAGGGAAGTTACCAATCTGCTTACATAAGATGGCCAATTCATGCATTCTTTCTACTATTGCTAGGAGTCTTAGTTGGGGTCATCGCTGTGGGCTCTTGGGGGCTTCCCTGGCACCAGGTTTCTCCCTATCCCCCAATACTCCCCCATCAAGACATCTCTTTTGTTACTCTCCCCCACCATCCTGCCTTCAACAGACTTCCCACAGAAGTCTGCTCTTTCTAGCTCCCACATCTCCATCCTCTCAACCCCCACCCACAGTGTACCCAGATCTTTACTCCTTCCTGTTCCCAGGGAAATTCATATCCCTCCTTGTGACTCCTTGCTATCTAGCTTTTTTCGCCCTATGCAATGGGATACTACTCAGCTGTAACCAATGATGGCTTCATGAAATTTTCAGACATATGGATGGAACTAGAAAAAAATCATTCTGAGTGAGGTAACCCAGACCCAGAACAACAAACATGATATGCACCCACTCATAGTTGGTTATAAGGACTAAAGTGCAGGTTAACCAATCTGTCTATTCTTTACCCTACCTTTGTCTTCTGAGGAGACAACATGGCCTGTATATTCAACATAAAGAATAAAACAAAGGTAACTTATATGTTTTGGCAAAACAAAAACAAACAAACAAAAGTCGCACAGAAACCACCTTAATGACTATGTGCTGCCACATTCGCGCGGGTTCTGTGAAACTGACCTGTTTGAGGGCCCTTTCTATTTCTACACCTTGTCCCCAAGGCACAGCTGGGTTGGCCAAACAATCCCCTGCATTGCCTCTCCGGGAGATTTCAATCCTCTGCTTCCGAAGGTTGCGGAATGCTTCGGTCATCACTTGGACAGCATCGTAGGTCAGGGCAGATGTATACTAAAAGGAATCACAAATTTTATAGGGATGGGAGGAATTCAGAACTTTGTTGCCCATGACCTAGCCTACCATGCAACACAGGTCATCCAGAATGCTCTTGCCTACCAAGCAGTATGAATACTGGGTAAAAAGGACCAAGACGTTAAACACATCTCCTCCATGTACCTATCTTAGAACCCAACCAGAAGTTGGGCTATGGGACTACAGAACTCATTCTGAACACTCAATATGCCCAAATATCTCAGTACATCAGCTAACTTAACCAGAAGCTTATTGTATTTATTGAGATCAGGTTATCATTGAACCAGTATTTTATGGACAGCTGTGATGATATATAAACTTTCAAAATAACAATAAACATATCATCAACGACTAATAAGAAATTCATTGGTTAAAATAGACAGAAAATAGATGAGTTTTTTAACCTGAATTTTGAATTCAAGATTGGTGGTGCCTACATACTCTTTAGAGTGGTGTTAGACCATTTTTTGCCTTCTCCTTTGTGTTTCTGGTGTTGAAGAAGAAGAAACAAACTCCACCACTCCTCAGCTATTTCTGTGATTTAACAGTCTATGAGGATGCCAGCTCAAACTTACAGAGGCTGAGCGTGCATTCACATGACTCCAGCAGTCCTTGCCCTTTTCCCTTTCCCTCTACACCCCCAAAAAACCATTTGATGGCATTCCTAATGCTACTCACCAAGGTCTACACACTTATTTGGCTACTTCCTTCTCCTGAAGCTGGCTACCAAGTCCAGCAACCAAAAGCCCTCTTTGGCTCACCTGTTTAATATGCCCAATTAATATTAAATACCTCATCTTAACACAGGGTTTCCCATTTTATCTTTATAAACCACTATTTGCCTATGTGCCACATCTGTCTCCCTCTGTCCAGAGGCACTCCTTTGTCTCATCAGGACAATCACCCTTCCCCTTTTCCGATTATGTTGTACTGCGGAGAGGAAGACACCCCCCCCCCTCCGCTATAGAAGTACCTGTTTTGTCACCTGGAGAAAAGCCTAGGCCTCACAACACATTTGCCCCTGAATGGACCGAACAGAGCTGGCCACACTTTTCTCAGCCCTCCCATTCATGCAGTGTGCTAAGGGTACACCTCCAGTTTCCTTAAACACATTTGTTTCCGGAATCACTCATTATCCCTCATCAGCACACTCACGAAAGTCTCTATACAAACTCGGCTTCTTTATTATTTTCTACCGCAACTAAAGAAAGAAATGAGAAGAGTGGAGGAGAAAAGAAAAGAGGGAAGGAGGAGATAAAAAGGGAAGAGGGAAATACTTCGTCAAATATTTTTCTTCAAATCATCATCCCATTTTTTTTTCTATTCCCTTCTTAGGAAATGCTTTGAGAAAACAATCTGTCCTGGCATATTAACCTTCTTCACTAAGTGCTACTTTTTGCTCTGTGCCTGTGAGTGCCACCCACAGACTCTGACAGACTCTGATTCTGCTTGGGCAGGGCAGCCCTTCCTACACAGCGATCCTCCAGTTCCTTTCCCGTTTGTCTTATTTATGGCGTTTTCCAGCATCTGACCATCCTATGTGAACATTTTTCATCTGTTTCCTGTAACTATCTTCCGCACCAGAACAGATGCTTCAGGGAAGGGGAGCTCTTGCCTATTACCCCTGAATTCTTATAGACTATGATTGGGCTTGGCTTATTGAAAGGGCAAAAAGAATCAATGAGGGGATAAAGAAAGAAGGAAGAAAGGAAGGAGGGAGGGAGGGAGAGAGGGAGGGAGGGAAGAAGGAAGGATTAGAAGAAACTTAAATTTCTGACAACAAAAAGATGTTTAAGGGCTGGGCAACTGTAGCAGAACATCTACCTAAAACGTGCACAAATCATGCTCATGATTAAAAAAAATAAGTGAAAAGATATAGTTTCACAGCTAAGTTTCCAATTCTGGTCAACGAGAACAGCTGAACAAGTGCATTACCTTTAAAAGCAAAAGAAGGGCTAACCACAAGGAAAGGAAGCTGACTCCATTACTTTCACAAGATTCTATTTCATGGATCACTTAAAAGTTGTATTATATTCCTATCAAAAAATTATGTTGATGTAAGAGAAGAATTGCTGAAGCTTAATAAGAAAGGACATAGCAGGCTGCATCTGCCTCACTGTGTATCTGTTTTTATTAGCCCACAGTGAGAAGCAGTCATTTTCTTTCTGTACGCTATTCAGTTTATTGCCAAATTAACTCTTAACACTAATTCCTAGGTCTTTGAATAGGTAATGGAACTTAAATTGAATAAGTTGAATATTAAGAAAATATTGCGATTCATATTAAAATTATAGTAGCTAAAAGCCAAGATTTTCATTAAGTCAGCTTACTCTCATTACAGGGAGGCACCCATGAAGCCACCCACTAACTGTTTCAGAGGACTATAAATGTGAGCGAAATGCATTGGAAATCTGATTAGGCTGAGCTAAAAGCGTGCTGATCCACGCAACACAACCCCATTGCTACAGAGCATGCCCACTGGGCGGAAAGTCCCCTCATCCTTGCCCAAATGCTCAAACCTAAACAAGCGTTCAGTTTATTGTCCTTTTAAATTAAAATGCCCAGTCAGAAACGCAATTCGGAGCACGCAGATAACGAGTATTCTGTGATGCAGTGCCCGTTAGCTTCTGGTTTGCTTTTTCAGTTCATTTGTTTCCCTCAAGGAGTATGCTCACAATTTTGACTGGAGAGTGAAAGATTTCCGTTGGTTTCCACTGCTCACTAAAGCAGATATAAATTAGTTTGGAGAGATGGTGGTGATGTGGGAGTGATTTCTTATTAATAAAGAAACTGCCTCGGCCCTCATAGGACAGAAAATTAGGTAGGCGGAGTAGACAGAAGAGAATGCTGGGAAAAAGAAGCTTAGTGAAGAAGTCGCCATGATGCTCCCTCTCCAGACAGATGCAGGTTAAGATCCTCCCTGGTAAGCCAGCTTGTGGGCTACACAGAATATTAGAAATGGGTTAGAACAATATGTAAGAGCTAGCCAATAAGAAGCTGGAACTAGCCGGGCCAGGCAGTGTTTGAAAGAATACAGTTTCCGTGTAATTATTTCTGGGCATAACCTAGCCATGTGGGCAGCCGGGGGGACGCAGCCCCGCCGCTCCTATTTCAACATGGTGGTGGCTGTGTAACTGTCTTCCTCCTCTGAGAAAAACTGCTGTGTCCCTGCCCTGATGTTACGTTCTGTGAACTCTCTCAGCTGAGTTAGGCATTCATCCTTCAGTGGGGGGCCATTTAGCTTAGTGCTTCCCAGCATGGCCACTGCCACACTCACACAAGAAATCTGGGAAATCATTTTTATGGTCCATTTTCCAAATGCAAGCTTTATTACATTTTAAGTGTCTATCTATTGAGGCTCATATTTCAAAAATAAAATGAAATACTCATTTTACATGTTTGTTATGTTCAGTAACATCATGCCACGGGATAGCGTGATCACAGGTACCAGAAGAAGGCATTTCTAACACCAGAAAAGGGCGGCAGAGAGGAAAATGTGTTTATCTCACTTCCTGCATTACAAATATAAAAGAGGATGCCGTGAATACAATGTGAGTTTTTGTAGATTGCCATATGGTGCCATGGTTTTTTACACACATTTTCTACACCTTGAAAACATAGAAAATTGTATTTAAAACAGAAATACTCACTACTTTTACTCACTACTAAAATGTTTTTAAGTCCTATAGATTTCATTGTTTTCAATTTGTTGTGAAACTTAAAGCTCTTTGGGAACAGTTTAGAAAGCACAGAACTTGTATGTCAGAAAGCAGGCCTGGGCCCAGACTTGCCTCTTGCTCCTCCGTTGTCTTGGGGTGGTTACCAGAGTGTTTTATGTGATGCTTCTTAAGTGAGGTCCTCAAACTGTGGGTTGTGACCCCACGAGCATGGAGCCCACACCCTGCAGATTTTACATTATGAGTCCCAACAGTAGCAAAAGTACAGCCATGAAGCAGCAATGAAATAATTTTATGTTTGGAGGTCACCACAACACAAAGAACTGTGTTAAAGGGTCGCAACATTAAGAAGATTGAGAACCACTGTTGGATTTAGAGAAACAAAACAGTGTCTGTACTGTCTTAGCAGGGACTGGACACAAGCTAATAGAAGAGAGCCCATATTCTCCTGATTCTCTAGTTAGCATTTGTGATATGGCAGTTACGAAAAAAATCCAAACACATGCATTATTGTATTGTGACTTTGTAGTTATTGAAAAACCTTAAGCCACAGATAGCTTTGTTTGATTTTATAGGTGAAGATTACAGGTCTTAAAATAATCATTTTTACACAGTGCTCCAAAATTTTCCTACCAGGGAGGAATTTGAGGTCAGCGCTCTGTGACTCTGAGATAGTGACCTGACTTCCCGGTTCACCTGAACTGTCACTATGTAAAGCAGAAAATCTCAAATCTTATAAAGTCTTAAAAAATTTATAAGAAAAATTTAGGAAGCCTTTTATTTTAATTCCTCACAACATGTAAAAATCAAATAGGGACTCAAGGGAAAAGAACAGTGGGGAAAAGTGCACTGTGAGCCTAGAATTATTCACGGAACTCAATTTCACATTCACCAGCACCCACCCCCTGGAAGCGCTGTCTGTGATAAGGTCATCTCTAATTTACTGAAAAGCATCTTGAACATGTGCCCTTTAAAACTGCAGGGCACAGAGGCATCAAACCTTCATGAAACTCTACATCTTTGGCAGTCACACCAGCGAGCCACCATTCCCAGGACGGAAATGGGAGCTCAGCAGGAAGAAGCCAGAATTGGCATCTTTCATTATTTTCCATGGATAACGAAGATATTCTCAATGAATATGAAGAAAGAAAGACCTATTTTTAAAGGAACACATTTAAAACACACACACATATGTTTAAAATCATATACACATATACACTTATATGGCTAAAATATAAAGATTATCTGTTATTTTCAGAACAAAAATCTTACTCAAGGAGCAAGCATCTCACGTTCAGGGGC